TATATATATATATATATATATATATATTCTTTTTTATTATTTCCCTCTCGAATAATTGATTACTCCCTGAACGGTAATAGTATAATTAATTGTGTGCCATATTTGTTTCACAAAGACTTTTCTCGAAGATACAGATTGTATAATCTTTATATTGACTTATATAAACATCTGTCACAACAAGAAAAGAGTATCCTTATGTGAATTGATTGAATCCTATTGAAGAAAATATCTATTACAAAATGACGGAATCAAAAAAAAAATTATAAAGAAAACTAACTAGAAATATAATCTTTATTGAAAGATAGTTTATATAAATATATTATCAAGTACTATATTTACTTGATTCAACATATGAATATTTATTTTTGTATATAAAAAGCAATAAATATCTATCAAATATATGAGATATGAAGAGAGAACTTCCATCTCAATAATTAAAGTCAATATAATTAATCGAAATATTCAATTGACCTATAAAATTTGATATGAATGTTATTAGTGATGTATGAAAACCTTTAGCTTTTTATTTTTGTTGTAAATGTCTGTCATGTTCGTATAAAATGAATGAATAATACAGTTTTATCAGTAAAATTTGATGCTAATAATAATTTATTACGTTTGATGATTCATCAATTGAATTTCTTTTTCTCAAGTAAAAGCAATCAAAGTAATCGCTTTTTTACGAGTATCATGATATATTTAACAATGACTTTTAAAAAAGAAAGTAATTTCTATAAAAATAATAAACATCAAATGACATTGAAACAAATATTGCTCAAAATGTTTATTTTAATACCAAAAAGAAAAGCTTTGTTTTTTCTTCTTGAAATATTTTCTGGTTTAAAATGCAATAAAAATAATGAAAATATAGTAACAAAAAAATACATATATATAGATGATTTTCCGAAAAAAAAAGACATTTAACTACGAAAAAAAATTCTGAATTTATACAAAAAAAAACAAAGAATTTAGTCATTTAGAACGAGGCCAAGCATAGATCGAGGAAATCTCAAGAAAATTTTTCTAATCTGTTCCTCGTTTTTTTTTTCAGTTTTATTCCAATGGCTTCCGACTAAATGTTCATATACACAAAACAAAATATTTCTCCTGAGATTTATCCTCTTAGAATGCCTTGCCATGTGATCTGTTTGACATTACAACAAAAAAAAAAAAAAAAAAATTGAAGTTTTTTTAATTAATCTTTTAATTCTTCAAATGATGGCCATGCTGTATTTGTATCACTGCCAAAATGAGAATTCCACCATTGAATATCTTTCTCAGTATCATGACAATTAATTCCTTTTGTAAATTGTTCAGACATTTCTTTGAGATGAGTATCTTTATCAATTAATAGAGATTGATGAAGAGCTGTAAATAATGCTTTAAATTGTGCCAATCGTTTTTTTTCAAATGCATGTGTACGATCAAGTACTTCTTTCATTGAATTTTCATAATTTGGTCTTGAATTTTTCATTTCTTCAATATATTGTTGATATTTACTTTTAAGCGCTTCACATTCTTTTTTATAGGTACTAACACTTAATCTAACTTTTGTTTTTTGTTCTTCTTCAGCACCACGATCAGATTCAATAATTTTTTCAGCTGTTTCAGCTTTTTTTAATTGACGATGAGCATCTTGATATTCTTTTTTAGCTTTATTAATTTTATCTAATAATTTAATCCATGATTTTTGTACTTGTTCAAAATCTCGTTCGAATTCTTTAATTTTCTTGACATGTAAGATTGATTTACCATAATTTTCTTTTTTATAACTAGCCATTTTATCAATAACATTTTCTTGAAGACGTTGAACAATATCAGAATGTGTATTAGCTATTTCTTTTGATGCTCGTATTACATCAATCCAACATTTTTTATTTGTACCAAATTCTTTTGTTTGACTAATTTCCTTTATACTTGTTGCTGACCATTTTTCCAAATCAGATATATAATTTCGTTCAATTTTAGCACGTTCAGAAAAAATATGAATGAATAAATCACATGAATCATATCCACCATTGCAACGATCAATAGCTGCTTTATATTGATTTGGTTCACAAAAACCTTTGTCATACCATGGATTAGACAATATACGTTCTGGCGTTGTTTGACCCTGGGGAAAAATACACTGCACTAAAAAACGAATGACAAAGATAAAATTGTATCATAGCAAATTGTAGCAAAATGATAGAACTTACTGTTTGATTTGATTGAATTAAAGGTAATCAGGTATATGTGTGTATAAAAAAATGGTCAATATTATTCAAAGTAAAACGTTTATACACAACCCCTTTACAGGTCACGAATTATACAGTTCATGTTATTGAGAAAATGAATTGTCAGAATAGTTTGTTATGATGTGTATGTCGTCTGTTGGCGGAGTATATATATATATATATATACGAAGAACTGTGCTTTTTTTGTTCTGTTTTTTTTCGTTCTTCATCTTAATCGCCATAAGAACACGATGATAAAGGGGGTGGAAGCCTTTGAGAAATTTTATTGTTTGCAATATACATTTCTTTTTCTTTTCTCTCACTTTATTGCCCTTAAAAATAAATAAATGGCCTTATAATCGATGTGTGTTAGAACTACTCATAACTATCAGCTCCATATGGTGATCATGAGAAGACAGGTGTGACTCACGCGTCCTTTATCTGTAGTATTCTCATCATGACATCATAATATTGATATAGTACATATGCAGCATTTTGTCAGTTTCTCTCTCTCTCTCTCTCCCTATGGCATATCGAGCAAATGATTCACGTTGTCATGTAATGACACATTGAAATGCAATCTGATTCGACAATCTTTCAAAAATTCATTTTTAATAATATGTATTTTTGTTATCATTAAAATTACTTTTTTTTCTCTCAAAAAATTTACGTCGTTCTAATTTTTATCTTTTTCGTTTGGGCATCAATTTCTGAGCAATCATTTGTAGATAAAGTGAAAATTCATCATTCATTGTATTAACAAGATCGAATTATATTAAAATAATAAAAAAAAAAAAAAGAAAAATTTTGCCTTCTTGAATATTGTCCAAAATGAGAGGCATAGAGGTGTTGTAACATAAAAAAATAAACCTTTCATCAACCTTGATTTTATTAATGAAGTCTGCTCATTTTCGTTAGGTTTTTTTTTTTCTTCAAAGAGCACGTATAAATGCCTTTGTAAGATATATATATACTTTCTAATTCATTCGTAACCATTTTTATGCATGCATATATTTGTAATTCTTATTAACATTCATTAAAAAAAATCAAGACTATCTAACATTAACATTTTCATCTACATGACAAATTTGTAAGTATCAGAGCAACTCGTTGCTATGCGTCGTTATTTTCTATGATAAAATTTTGATGATTGTTGCAATTAAAATAAATATTTTCGTTTTCATCATGTCCTTGCTTGAGAATGTCAATAAAAATTTCTTAATCGTTGTGCAATGTTACTACATTTAGTTGTCGTCAGAACCGATAATTCATGATGTTCGAAAGTATTTTTATTTTGTACGCAAAAATTATAATGTCATCATAGAAAAAGAAAAATTTTAAAAAATCAAACAGACTTTAAAATATCTTAATGATTATATTAATAAATATTTAAGAATATTATTCAAATGATATTCAATCAAATGAATACAACTAAATATCGATTACTTGTTATCAAATGTAATTTTAGAACTCTTTAGTCTCGATAAACACTCACATAGTTCTATGGCCTTGACGTGATTAATGCAAGAATATCTATCGAGAGAGATCTGTTTTTTTTCGAGATTGATTCTAGTATATCTTGCTATCTATCACTGTCATGACTAATATTAGTTAATTACTTTTTTGATAAACAGAATTGGTTACCCATACAAAAAACAACAAGTAATTAATTCAATCAAAAATTTTCATAATGTATTTTTTTGTTTTATTATTATCTAAGTTGATATTAGATGCGTAAATTTAGTATTGGAAACAGGCGGGAGCGTACAGAGATTGAGTTCCAGAAAAAGGGATGTTGGATGAATAATTTTCAAAATGCAGAGAAGGAGGATGCAGCGTGGATGAATTTGAGAAGCTGGAGGCCATCATGCTTTTCCTTCTGATAACTTACGCTCCTATTCAACATGTCGTATACTAAAATTAGCTTCATAAATTCAAATAAGAAAGACAAAGACATTCTTACGAAATATGAATGCAAGATTCATATGCCACTAATCACATTCTGGTGCGAATATTATTCATTTAGAAAGGTGAATAAAAAGAATTAAATCATTTTTACAAAATAATCATCATGACTAAAAAAAATTCAAAACCATACTAACTTCTAAAAATTTCTCTCGTTTTTCTTTTGTGTTTACTCAAATGTACTTTTGAAAAAAACAACAAAACGAAAGAAAAACAATTGCATATATGAAGATTAAATTTAGAATTTTTGAAAAATATTATTTAATTATAGTTTTTGTTAATGATATTAAATATAGTTTAGACTTTCTTGTTCCGGACACACATTGTTGATAGTTTATACGAATTATGTTGCCTAATGATATGTTGCGTTTATTATTCTGTCATTGATCCACAATTGTTTATCGTCACTTGTAATGTCTTGAGGTAATACTTTTACTCGTCTAGATATGTTTAAAAAGACGATGAAACAAATAATTGTTAAGATTAAAAGTATGCAGGATTAGAGCATATATACAAATTGTGAGAATAGTATTGAGTCAAGAATTTCGTTGGTCAATATGAAATAAAGTAAGTAATTTTGACTTGATTCTGAAGTTATAGTTATGCATTGTATTGAAATGAAAAGTTGCAATCTCATAATTAAAAATTGAATTGAAATTGTCAATAGAAGACAATATAAAGAAAAGTTGAAATACTCTCTTTCTAAAGCACGCCATTTTTTATTTATTAATCGATTGCTTTTCAAGCATATTTCAATATACTTTTACTCATACGAACTTTGAAGGATTAAATCTTTCGTTTTTCTATTCAGCTTTATATTAGTGCCTTGTATCCTTGTACACATTGGACCTAAAAGATCAATATTTGTTAAATAATTTCTTGCAGAATTATATAGAAGATTGGCTATTGTATATAAAATATAGGAATAACTATATCATTAAAGTTCTTTCAAGGCAATATGTGTCTCGTTTTCAATTTGTTGATCTTGACGCTATCGATTATTCATGTTCCATTGCACAATTATTATTCATATAACCTCCCCCCCCCCTCTCTCTCCAATTATCAAGGTGAATAGAAGATTTCGAACCATATACTGAAGCGAATTGATTGTTGACGAATGAAAGATATTATGTAAGAAAAAAAAAGAATTATAAAATGATAAATCAACAAGTAGTTTAGTTTTCAAATATTCGATAGATTTTCATCTACATAAAAATAATGATACAATAATTCAGAAATCTTTATATTGTATATACATTTATTAATTATTAACATAAACTACATCTTACAACAGGTTGATTTTCAATACTTTACTCGTCCTCATGATGCAATTAATTTCTATTTAGCAGATATGCATTGATTCTTTTTTCGGTTGTTATTCCGACAATTCATTATCTATAGAAAAAAAAAAGGCGTAGACGCATAACTGAATGGAATCAAAAGCTGACGTTTTAATGATTATTGAAAAGCATCTGTTACACGCTTTTATTTCTTTTCATAGAATAAACATTTAACTGCCATTATCAATGACATAGGCGGAACACCGTCTGACAAAAGTTATTAACGGTGAATAGAATTGAATTTTTTTTTAGATTCGCACAGTTTTACATACATCTTGTTTGTTGACTTTCTTAACCTTGATTTTATTTATTAGTAACAATGACCATGTATGCATAAAATTATATTAAAGAAGTGTACTTGAAGTTAGCAAACATTGATGTGTTATTTTTCCCTCATCAACAAAGCACATAGAATACAGTCAAATTCCATTCTTACTTATTGTCTTTTGCTCTCTTGAGAGACACATCGTCACTGACGACACGTAAATGATATATTTCTTTCAAGTAAACATGCATGCAAGATGATCTATAGATTGGCTAGGTTTTTTTTTGACATTAATTATACGAATATAGAAATACGATGTTATTTATATAAATGTTTAGATTTTCTAGTAAATGTGAAATATTCCTCATGCGTACATATAAACTTCCTTTGCTCGATTCTTTAACACTAACGAGGTGCAAAGAAAGAAACCCTCATTTTTATTGATTCATCGTATGTCACGTCATTGTCATCATTTCTGTTGATTGTGTAGTATGATATGCTAAGCGACAAACGAAAGAAATTATCAAGGATATTACAATGGAAAGAACAAGCAAAAAAAACCAATTCTAAGATATCAATAGCGACAACGACGATAGCAATATCTTATTGTATGAAAAAAAAAGAAAACAAGAGAAAAAAAGTCGCACTACTTTTTTTTTCACTACATACACATAATATTGTCCTTCTTTTTCTTTTCATTCGTTATGTATTTGTAATGTTCCCCAACCATCTATTAATATGAAAACGAAAAGAGAACGAGAAGAAAGAAGAACGAGAGAGACAGACAGACAGAAAGAGAGAGCGAGTCACTTATGGGAGAGTACTCCGACTGTAAAAAAAAAACGAAAAGTTCTCGACAACCGATCACGAAGAAAGTAGTGTGGAAGTACACGTGTATATATTTGCATCTTTGATACATCGAAAGAAACCACAGAACACAATCAAATTCATCGATTAAATAGGAATCAAATAAAATATATCTTTACGCACGATTTATTCGTCACGGAAGATCGATGATAAACATCAATAGGTATGTACTTAAAGGCTGATTTTCCATATGCTAACAAATTATGTGTCTAATTTGAGTTCTTTTGCATATAATTACTTTCTATTCATGTACAATGTAATTATTTATATTCACAGTATAGTTCCATTGTACTAAAAGTGTGTGTTGTTTTTTATTCTGTACAAATATTACTAGCATATGACATTGACAGTCGTCTAAAAGAAAAAAAAGAAGTTTTTTTTTTATCATTGAGGTCGTGTAGCTATATGATGAGATATAAGGAATGACAGTGACACAAACACAACAGTTATCACTTGATGTCTGGTGACTATTATTAGTAGTAGATAAAAAAAAAACTACTAATAGATTGGCATTTGCTCCGAAAGAAGACTAATATAATGTGTTTTTTCCTACAGTAAATTGGTGATGTATTCTTGCTCGAGACAAATCAATTCAGAAAAAGATGTACACGCGTCTTATGTTCTCTTGAATAATAGCTGAAGTAGGTATAGTCTTGATATGCTATAATGAGGTACTTTTTAGGTTTATTCATTCTTCTTCAAAGGTTTCTTCTTTTCTTACTTCTTACATATTACATACAATCATAAAAAATATATTCATTAATTATTTCTATACTTGATCAAGACAACTAACATGATTATTTTTGTAATATTAATGAGAATTTATAAGTGTCTGAAGATTGTTTCAAATAATTATTTTAAATATTTAGCTTTAATAAGAAAAAAAAGGAGACGACTATGTAATCTTCATAGAAGTGGATATATTCTAATAAATAAAAGAACAATGATATATATATGCATATAATATTACTTACATCAGCTCAATTGGTATAAATAGGATCATATCATATTATACTTTTAGGCTTAGTCTGTCTCGAAGCGAAATGAGAGATTGATCTTTCTTTAATAGACATTAAAACCAATTTTTAAGAATATTATTTATTCAATCTCTCTTCTCATCTTCCACTTGTTTTTTGTTTATAGTCAATGATTAACATTCATCTGGTTGATATAGTTCATCTTTTCGATGAGCCATTATTATTCTTCAACAATCATTATTGTTTTTGTCACTAGTTTGACATTTGTTTTATCATTATCATCATCATCAATAAAAGATAAAATCGTATCGAAAAAGAATGGTACTTCATTGAATCTTCACAATCGAATATCATCACAAGGTGGTAAACTACGAAATATTTCAACAGCTATTCATGATCGTTTTAAACCTTCACATGAATGGAATGAAAATAATAATAATAATAATGACAAAATAGAAAAATCTGATGATGAATATTCTTCAACAAATGAACAAATAGCAAATGTTGTCGTATTAACATCTCTTTCAGGTATTTATGTTTGGTGGCCAACTTTATTTGGTGGTGATGATTCATTTCATCTTCTACTTTCTCAAGAAGATGTACCACGTTTTCATGATGTAACTGGTGATGAATATGGTCATATCTATTTAACAGCACCACATGAACGTACTGTATATCGTTTACAATATTCAGATGGTTGGTGGATATCAAATTTTTCCAATCATTCCTTAATGAATTCAATTCGTAGTGAAATGCCATTATTTCTTAATATTCATCGTGTATCATCAATACTTTATGTTTATGGTCATTCAGATATACAAGTAATTGATTTACTTGAACGACCACGTACACGTGGTTCAGCACCATTTATGAAACGTTTACGTGAATTAAGTCCAAATTTACGTATAAGTGATTTAATTATTGATCAATTAACATCTGATGGTTATATTATAGGTGATTCATATGGTTGGTGTATAGTTATACGTTGTTCATTAAGTGTTAATGATTGTATATTTTTATTTAAAATTCCATCATCATATGATAGTCGTCCATATCCATGTTCAGCAACAATTGATTTCTCAAATAAAATGATGTATTTAAGTTTAGAAGAAAAAATTCTTGCTGTACATCTTAATGAACAAACAAATTTTGATCGACGTTTTGTTTTAACTGAAAAAAGTGGACCACGTTCAACATTAGGTTATGATGATATTGTTATATATAATAATACAATTTTATATACTGATGTTCTTCGACCTATTTTACATATATGTCCATTAAAAAATTCAGATCGATGTTTAAATTTATCACTTATATTTCCATCACCACAACGAACAATATTACCACTTCGTTTAAGTATTGTTAATGTACGAAATTTACGTCCACCTATATTTGATGATGAAGATGAAATTGAATTGCATATAAATCAATCAGATACTCATTCATCACCATTATCTCTTCGAACTCAAAATACAACAACTACTTATCAATATCAAATTGTTGATATAACAACAATTCAATCTCATGAAATTCGACAAACAAGTTTAAATAGTATTTGGATGCTTATACTTGGTATTTTTATTGGTTTACTTCTTGGTGGTTTATCATTTATGATTTATTATATTATTTGGAATAAAAATCGACCAAAACTAAAAAAACCAATATCATCAACAAATGTACCTTCATCTTCAACAAAAATATCTATACCAGAACGAAAACAATCTCTTCTCGATGAACGAAAACGTAGAAGTGAATCTGGAAGTAAATCATCATCGGATTCAGCAAAAAATCGTTTATTAGAAACAACAACAAATTCAAGTACTAGTGGTTCAAGTGAATGGACAACAATTACAACTAGTTCATTAAGTTATCAGCCAGATATTGTTCTTTAGTTTTAATTATTCATTATTATTTTTTTATTGTTTTCATTTTCTTCCTTTATACATACATTTTCCAAGTCTTTTTTTTTTGTCTTTTCTTTTCGGTTTTTTTTTAAATTATTTTTTATTCTCTAGTTATAAAAATTATTTTATATGTGAATTGTTTCGTATGCGTCTTATGAAACAAAATGAAAAGCGAAACACTCAAAACACAAAAAAAAAAAGAAAAGGTTGTAGAAAGACCTTGATTACATGGATACAATATTGTCATTGTAATAGCACAATTATATTTTATAATCATGAAACTTTTTTATCTTGATATCGATCACATAAAGATGGTGGTTTGTAACAGGATCCGACAGTTAATTTAAGCATAATGAAAATAGTACCAACAAGTAGAAAACCAATGAAAAGAAATATTGGCCAATCGAACATAATTGATGAATCAATAGATTTAGACATAAATAATAACCGTTTTTTTTTGTCTGGAAAAAAAGATCTATTTTAATAACATAATCCCGAACAAAATAAGAAATCGTTTTTGTCTACAAGTTAGCACAAATGTATGCATACAAAAAAAAAAAACTATTGTGAGATTATCAAAAATGAAATATATATATATGTAGTAGAAAAGTTTTATGAAGTTGATTTTGACGTAGAAGATACTTTGTAGAATTCATTGAAGTTTAATCGAAAACTTAAAGAACGTAATGTTATGTCTGGATGAAATTTAAGTTGTTGAAGAAATTTCAGTACAGCATCCTGAAATAAAAGTGTTAAATATTTATGTTATTTTTTAACAAAAGAAGTTTTTTTTCTGCATACTCGAAATGCTTTTTTAACAATATGTAAATCACTTTTAATTGTTTTCAATTGTGGTTTAAGAATTGTATGAAATCGCCGAACTTCTGCGTCCTAAACAAATACAAAAAAAATCATCATTGAAAAAGCTTGTTAGCACAGCACCTTGGGGGACTAAAATGTGGCACTTATATGTGTTCTTTAGTCGCATTATACTAGTACAAAATACATAAAGTGAATAATTGCTAGCAGACTATAGCTGTTGGTTATAGATAATTGATCGTCAGTGTAACGATGTGTCCTATTTATTTCTACATTTCGAACAGAAATTTTTTTAAAAATCTGTCTTATTGCTATTCGCTCGTTGTCTTCCATTTTTCTTAAATTAACTATTGTACAGACAAAGTTGCTAAATGTCAAAAATTATAAATCCTTGATGAATAACTTTTTCTGAATTTTGATCAATAGAATGTTATACGGCACACATATGCACACATTACAACAGTGAATGTGAGGATGAAATCTATGACTTAGAAGGATTTAGATTTTCAACACTTAGCTACCAAGCCATTGTATATATCCATTATATTTACAACATGTCTTAATACACTATGATATATTTCGATAAGCTTAGAAATACTGACATTAATTATTTCGCATAGTTATAACTTGCTCATTTCACACTTTTCAATGTTAGTCATATGATGATTGTGACAAAATGAATGCATCACTACCTATCATCCTTGATATCAGTGATGTAATTTTCTATCTGTGCAAAAATCATAGAGTGTGTAGGCTGTGGATAGAATGAGAGGCCGCACTCTCATCCACATCGTCTTTTGATATTAATTCACTGTCTAGTCAATATTCGTACTTGTCAAAATAAAAAAAAAATGATAGTTTCGAATACTCAAACAAGTATCAATTAGTTTTATACATTTTCAAAAAATGAATCAGCTATTTCAGATCGAATTAAGCTACAAATTAAAATTGTTTATATTGAATTTACAGCATTTGATTGTCGACCATTTAAAACAATCAATGATAAGGATTTTTAAAAATCTTACAGAAAAAAAGTTTTTAATATCGATTGATACTTATCTACAAGAAGCTGCGAGTTCACGTTATTGTAGATTAGACTCACACCTGTTGTTCCCTACTGTTGTCCTTGGTTACTATGGAAATTCAGGTTGAAAAAGCACGATTGTATACAAAAAAATACGACGGGGATTACGTTAATCGTATATTTGTCATGTCTAACGCTAAGTAACTTTCTTTGTATAAAAGAGTTTTTTTAATATTTACATCTGTTACAAGTGCACAACGAACCGTAAATATACTTTGTTATAAGAAACAATTTTTTTATGTACGATTCTCCTCGATGGTACAACGAACAGTAAATGTTATTTTAAACTAAACAATCTTTTTTTCTTTTTTATTTAAATTTATATCAACAGCAAAACGAACAGTAAGTATTAATTTATTTAGATAAATTTTATCTTTTTATCTTTAAATTATCTACCACGCTAAGTCAAACAATACGTCAGAATTGATTTAAATAATTTTTTCTATTTAGTTTTAGATTTATTATAACAATCAATCAAACAGTAGATTAGAATTTAGTAAAATAATTTTTTATTTTTATTTTTAGATTATCCCCATCGATAATTCGAAGGATTAATGTCAATTTAAATTAATAATTTCTTTTTATTTTTAGATTTATTATAAGACAGCAAATATTAACTTAGATTAATTGGGGTGTCAAGTGGATTCGGCAACCCATATACTAGTCTTTCTATTTTTTGGAGAGTGAGGAGGGGAAAAATAGGATTAGTTTATGTGGAATAATATGGGAAACAACTTTGTATACTACCGCGTACGATCTTTTACGATGGTCGTATACGACATGACGATATAATGTCATAATTCTGGCATCACGTAATACGGCCAAACACGGTCGTAATGTTTATCCTGGGAATATACCTAATGATTATTAGCCTTGATCTTTTCTTCATATTCTGTTGCTATGAAAATAAAACTTCATAATAAAGAGATTATTTTCTTACAGGCTCAACAGTTTTGGTATAAGTTCCATAATGTTGTTGTTGATATGGTTTTCTTGCTTGTAATTCATTTTCAACACATTGTATTAAACGTTGAATAATTGAACCAAAATTTAATATTAAATCAAATATACAACGTAATTGTTTAGCTAATTCTTGACTTGTTTCATGACCATCAAGATGAAGACGTGTTAAAATTTTTAATAATGAATCATCATGTGCTTCAAGGATTTGTTCTAAATCTTTAGCTTCCATTAATTTATTTAATAAATCACTCCATGAACATTCAAGTACTTCAAACATAATATAATAATTAACACCTTGAACAAATTTTGTCATTTCATTTGACATTATAAAACATACATGTATCATATCAGAAATTTCTAAAAAACAAAACAACAACAACAACAACAAATTTTTTTTTCTTGTTCTTATTAAAGATTATTTTTTACCTGGAATTGATGCAAATTGTCTTGATGATTTCATTAATTGTTTCCATACACCACATGTTGTATATTCCATACGTTTAACACGCCATAAATGATTAAATATTCTCATATATCTTAAAGAATTTTCTTCGGTAAATATTGTACGTAATGGACCATCAAATTTATAATCTAAACAACAAACATCCCAACCAAGTTCAGACGGTGATACATACATTAAACGTAAATCAAGACGTTTTATAATATCTTCACTTTCATATTGAGCATTTGTTACACGTATAGCTGCATCCATTAATGATTGTAAATTATGATAGAATACTTGATTTGCTGCTTTATTTAATTCATTTTCCATTAAATCCATTAAATATTTTATAAAATCACCTTGACCTAATAATAAATAACGTTTTATTGCTTTAAAATGATCCATCATTTGATATTTATCATCAAGAATTGAACGAAGATAACGTGTTGTTTCATTATATATCGATATAATCATATCTTGAAATTCAGTTGAACGTTGTTGTTGAAATAAACTTTGAGCTAAAAAACCAAAAATATTTATCAAATGTAATCTATAGAGAAAAAAAAATCTTGACACAAAATATTCATTCATTTTTTAAACATTTAATGACAAGTGATTACAGCCAGAAACAAAATTTTTCACTGTTTTCGAATATATGTCTAGATTTTTCTTCTGAAGTAAGATTGAACAACTATCAGTAAATTTTGTAAAAAAAAAGAACAACATTTAGAACTGTGTCTATACGAAGCAAAATAGCGGTTTTGATGTAATCCTTAGTTTGTCTTAGAATTCTCTACGAAATGAGATATTACAATAAGTGAAATCTCATCTATACAGTTCCACTAAAGAGTTAGTTTCTAAAAGTAAACAAGTCTGCTTTTAAAAAATACAAGAGTTTTAAAATCTTTTATGCTAAAGTAAATAGCTCGCTTTGCACAGCAAACTTTGCTCTGCACAACTGAGTCGTTAAAAAACAGGTTTCACATTGTGAATTTGATAGGTTTCAATCAAGATGTGTAGGCCTCTGTACAATCACTATTTTGGATCTTGTGAAACAATCTGACGATAATTGTTCAATCTTATCTTAGAAGGAAATTCTACACACATATTTGGAAAGAGTAAATAAGATTTTAGCGACATAGATTCTATTTTTGTTTTAGGTATTTCTTCTGATGTAATACAATCAGATGATGATTAACTGACTGTGAAATTTCTAACCTCAATTATTGCTAAGAAAAACAAGAAATTAATGTACAGGGAAGCAGAATGTACCAGATTTTCCTTGGAGCAAGCAGAAAAAATATGACAAATTTTTCCAATCGATAAAAGTATGAGATTAATCATTACTTGTTTATTGACATTATATCAAGACTGAACGGCAGACAAGCTTTCTCGTTGAACAGTTCAGTTATAGTTTCCATTATTTCAAACTTTCTTTAGTTTTTCTGTTTTTTTTTCGGACAGATTGTCCATTCCTGCTTATGTAATGTTTTTTATCATACATAAAATTTGAATTGATGATACTGAGAAATGAAATTCGTAGTAATGGAAATATTTCTAACTGTTTTTTATTGTCACTATGGAAAAAAAAATGAACAGAAGCAATATAAATTTTGTCGTCTTAGTTGAAAATGTATTTGAGATCTATCCTAAAGCCTACGCTTATCATTCAGTGCAATA